ATGTCAATGAACCCAATGGATATTTTTCAACCCTGTTTTACTGAGGTAGCATGTATCAAAGACAGAACTTGAGAAATCGCCTTCGGACCCTAAATCCACAGAAATGTAGTCTCTACCCAGTGCCTGAGTCGTACAGATGGTTCAGTGTCCAACTCTTGGCTTAGGCTCCGGTGGTGATCTCGGGGTCATAAGATCCAGCCCCATGTCAGACTCTGCACTCAACGGGGAATCTGCTTGCGATTCTCTCTCCCTCTCCCTCTGTCCTCCCACTCATGCTCTCTCTCTCAAATAAATAAATAAACCTTAAAAAAAAATGTATTCTCTACCAAACTGCCTGGTGATTTGCTTTTAACTTATCTGCAACTTATTTCTCATACCTCTTTGCTAGCCTCGTCCTTGCTTGTAGAGTCTTTTACTAAGGAAGACCGGTCAATTATGCTTCCACATGATGTCAGATTAAGTGGGTCTGCGGTGGCTTGCTAAATGGAGGAATAAGTCCCCTGTTGTTACTAATGAAGAAAACTGCCATCTCTAACCCACTGGTCTTATATAAGATAATATATGTTTTCCTCTAATATCTACTTATGCACTTTTAAAGACTTTTATTGATAAATAATGCATGATACATTTTCCTGGGCAGAGAAAATTCCTAACGGGCAAATTAGATCAAAGGCAATTTATATGATATATTTTAGGCCACCCAAGTCAGTCTAATGTCATTGAGGGTATGTATGGCCAGGGATAGCACAGGGTAAGGATCTGTAAATAAGAGAAAGACAAACATGATTATGTTACTGAGATTTTTAGAAGAATTAATTTTAGTATTTTCATCCCTAGTAACAAGAACAAATTTGGCATATTTTTTTTTTAAAGATTTTATTTATTTATTTGAGAGAGAGAGAATGAGAGAGAGCACAAGATGGGGGAGGGTCAGAGGGAGAAGCAGACTCCCTGCTGAGCAGGGAGCCCGATGCGGGACTCGATCCCGGGACTCCAGGATCATGACCTGAGCTGAAGGCAGTCGCTTAACCAACTGAGCCACCCAGGCGCCCCAGCATATTTTTCTAAAAAATCTAACACCAATTACAAAAATTGGTTTCAAACCTTTGTACTCCACTGCTAGTTCAGGTCTTGATCACCTCTCCCTTTTTAGTAGGGCAGATCAAGGAGAAATTCTCCAGACGCCAGTCTCTTCCTTCCCACAGAGCTTGGATGCTCTAAGTGATTGGGCAGGATCATCTTTTTTATTTTTTAAGATTTATTTGAGAGAAAGAGAGAGAGAGCACACGGGAGAGTTAGGGGAGGGGCAGAGGGAGAGAATCTTCAAGCAGACTCCCGCTGAACAGAGAGTCCCATGTGGGGGCTTGATCCCAGGACCCATGAGATCATGACCTGAGCTGAAACCACGAGTTAGATGCTCAACTGTCTGAGCCACCCAGATGCCCCAGGGCAGAATCATCTCTTTAAAAAATCACAGCTATGGTCATTTTGTTCTTCGGCTCAAATACTTTGTCTCTACAGTCTACGTATATTAAAAAAGTTCTTTAAAAATGTCTTAGCAAGGTATTTCAGGCCTTCTATTTTCTGAGATCAATATACCTTTCCAACCTTATGTCCCTGATCATAAAGGGCCTGCTGAGGAATTAGGAGGAACTAGCACACATTCATGTGATAATGTGCAGGATGGACCTAAGAAAGAAGAAGACTGATAAGTTTAATAAGGGGCCACGAAATAGTTTGAATGTCACAGTGAGAAAGAGAGCCAAGTTTGTAGCTACTTCAGTAGCGAAAGAGGGCCTGATTTAAGAGATATTTCTTTCTTTTTTTTTTTTTTTAAAAGATTTATCTGACAGAGAGAGAGAGTGAGCGAGCACAAGCAGGGGGAGCGACAAGCAGAAGGAGAGGGAGAAGGAGGCTCCCCATCAAGCAAGGAGCCCAATTCGGGACTTGATCCCAGGATCCTGGGATCGTGACCGGAGCAGAAGGCAGCCACTTCACCGACTGAGCCACCCAGGCGCCCCTCAAGAGATATTTCTAAGGCAGATGGAATAGATAATGATATCAGGTAGGATATGAGTGGTGAGGAAGAAAGGAGAATTAAGGACAACACGCACATTTTTTGCTTGGGAAACTGCTGAACCATTAATCAGAGATCTATAGGCAGAGTGTGCTTCAAAGGTAGGAAGGGTGTGCAGTGTGTGATAATTTTTGTATTAGATCTGCTACATCTAAGATGTCTATAGAGTAGCAATGTACCTTAGGCAGTCAGAGGTTAAGGATCTGGGAGTCACTGTCACAATGGAGGTAGATAAAGCCAAAGCAGTGGACAGCCTGGCTGTGAAAGATCAGAGTCAAGAGGACAAAGGCTGAAATAGCCTCTCAACCCTCAGACTATAAGATTTCAGGGAGTTTTAGGGAAAGAAAAGCTCACTGTTTCTTTAGTTCAGGGGAGAGATGGTCAGAACCAAGATCTGGTGCTCAGCCTGTGGCCATTTAATTCTGGTTTTAATCTTCTTTTAAAGACAACTCTGGGCTTAGGCGAACCGGACCACTTCCTAGTAGGTTTAAACAGAGCTACACAACCCCCAATTTGTTTTTCTGTTTATTGTGTTTCCACTATAAAATAATTTCAAGTTCTTTACACTTTTTTTTTAAATTAAAACACAACAAAGGTAAAAAGGTAAATTCACAAAAAGCCATTCATCCAAAGGAAAAAAAAAATATGATTACATCCCTCTGGGCTTTTTTCTATGTAGTTTTGGTTTATTTTATTTTTCAATCATACTGTATAATTTCGTATCACGATTTTTTCACTTATGTATTATCTTTTTTCCGTGTCATTTAAATTTTATAAATTATTTTTAGAAGCCACTTAATATTCACTAAGTGAAGTCGCATAATTTTTCCTCACTGTTGAGACGCCTGATTTTAAGGTTTTAAAGCCAACTTTACCTTATTATAAATAAGGCTGTGATAAAGGTCTTTATGCATAAAGCATGTTCTTCATTTCGGATGGCTTCCTTAGGATATATTCCCAAAAGTGTCACTAGTGAGTCACATGGAATATATTCAAACATTTAAAGCCACCCCTCGCTCGTCCTCAGCCGCCAGTCCTTCGCACGCGTACCTCCTACTCCCATTCTCCCCATCTTCTCTGCACGCCTGGCTCTCCTCCCCACTCCCTAACAAGTGCCGGTCTCTCCACCTCCCTCCTGGCCCACCGACGGCCCCCCAACACCAGCTAAGCTGGGCAGCAGCAAAGACAAAAATACCTTTGGTAACACTGCCCACAGAAAATAAGTCTCCCGGGTGCCGCGGGATCCGGAGCCCAGGGCGAATACCGGAAGCATCGACTCTCAGGCCTCTGATAGGTGAGCGGTAGCGGGCGAGCCCCACAATGTCCTCTGTCTATTGGCTTTTGCTTGTGTCACGTTAGGGGAGGGTCCTTCCCCCTGACCAATAAGCTCGGGATTTGCCGCACAGATCTCTGGGAGTAGTAGTTTCTGTGAAACTCCATCTACAGTAAATCAGCCACACTTTAACTCTCCCTTAAGGGTAGAGTCTTCCCCCACTTCTCCTCGATTCTCTTAGTCTAAGAAAGAGTACAGGATCCCTAGAGTCAAAACGGTTTCTTAACTTTTTTGGGGAGGAGGAAAGGGGTCAGGGGGTGAGAAGGTGTTGAGGACTTCTTTAAAATGTGATACAAAAATGTTCTTATGCGTATACAAGATATTGTGCATTCAACTGAAGCCGCTCCAGGGACCTGTCCGAGTTACAAACCCCTGTTCTACACTCACCCTAAGAGTGCCTCCCCATGGCCATAGTCCAAGGACCTAGTGCGTCACTAGTCTTTAGACACCTGGGAGACTCTGGGCCACGCCGTGAAGCAGCCCATGGGGAATTTCAGATGCTGACCCTCATAGTACAGTTGACTATCATCTTTCTTGAACAAAACAGCCAGTACTCCTTTAGCGATGCTGATAACCTGAAATCTGACCTAACCACATGGGAGAGTGGGGGCGGGGGTCGGGAGGGGAATGGAGGAAGAACACTCTAGGGCCCACTCTGGATGCCTCTGCTCAGGCTTTTCTCCCCGTGCCTATATTCCAGTACCACTGGTCAGAATCTGCTTTCACGTCAATTTTTAGAACGCTGCAGGGAAAAATGAGAGAAAAAGAGAGGGAAAAATTAAAGTTCCATTCATTCTTCAAGCAAATGTTATCTCCTCGACAGGTATCTTTCCAAATTCCTGGAACTCTTTTGGGTGGAGGTGAAGGGTCTGGCGTGAAGAGGCGCTCAAGGTACAATTTACTCATTCATCCCACAGCACGAATCACTCCACGCTGTAACTAACTCTCTGCGTCCCACCCGTCACAAATTTCGTTCTTTGGCGACAGCGATTCTGCCTTAATTTAATTGGTATCCGCAGGGCGCAGTTCTTTGCCTTGAAAGGTGGGAATCTACCTGTGAGTGGGGCAGAACTACGCGTGATGGTGAAGAGGGGTTTAGGTGGTTGCCGTAGGGTAATGACTGGTTTCCTCCCTGCCTCCCATGCCCCTCCGACTACCCCTCCACCCCCACCCCGGTGCCTCCCCCAGAATGTTCCTACATTCCGGGCAGTCGAGCTAGGGTAAGTACCTCTCACGTGCTTCCATAACGTTCTGAACTCCAGTGAGCGCATCTATTTAAAGTGTTGGTTTAGTTGCCGGCTTTCCCCTAGTCTGTGGGACCGGGTTGACTCCCCAGAGCTTAGCACAGAGTAGATGCTAGATAAATCTGTGTTGAACGGACGGATAGATCGATGGATAAATGGATGGATGGATAGATGCGCGTGTGTCTCATGCCTCCCTCACCATCCTCCCCAGTTAATGACCGTTAACCTGGCCAAGCTCGGGAGCAGCCGCGTCAGGGTCCCTTCCCCCGGGCCCCGCCCCAGTCGACCCCACCTTTCCGCGCCGCTCCGCCCCGCCGCCCCCTTCCCCGTGGCCCCTCCCCGCGCAGGTCCCGACTCCCGCCGCACCTCCTCCGGCTCTGCAGTGGCGGCGGGGAGGCGAGCCGGAGCGCCAGTGGGGCCAGGGCCGGAGCAGAGCCGGGGTCGGGGCAGCAGCGGGGACCCTCGGAGGCGGGGCCAGTGGGACTGCGATGGGCGTGGAGATCGAGACCATCTCCCCGGGAGACGGTACCGGGCGGCGGAGCCGGGGGAGGAGGAAGGGTCCCGGGGCGGAGCCGGGCGGGCGGGGGTCTGATTCCGAGGTGGCGCGGAGGGTGCTGAATCGGGGGCGGGCATAGGATGGGGGCGGCGGGAGGAGACCCCAGATAGGATTGTTGGGGGTCTAGCAGACGATTCTCCACCAACCCCTTCCGCGCCGGCTCACCTAGGGGATCGAAGGCGGCGGCCAGGAGGCGGGGGTCTGCGGCCCGCCACCGCCCCGGGGGCCTCGGGCAGCCGCTGCCGCGGCTGGAACCTCTCAGTTATCTGCTACTGCTGATTTCGCAGGGCACGGCTTTAGCTCTGCTTTCCCTGCCCTGCTAGGTGAGCTCTGGGGAGAGCTGGAAGGGATCCCTTCAGCTTGGGGCAACCCTTTCTAACGCGCCCCCCTCCGGGCCTCCGGTCGGGCGGCCCCTGTGGGCTGGGCGGTGAGACGTTGTGGGGACCCAGCCAGTCTGGGAAGGAAGAAGCGCACCCTCCGCCGCCTCTGCATCTTGCTTTATCCTCCCCGCCCCACTCAGCCTCTCCAGCCATCCTGTACACTCCCATGGCTTTCATTACCGTCTGCAAACCGATGGCCTCCAAACTTAAGCCTCCAGCCCAGATCTCCGACCCGAGTTCAAGGTGGTCCATTTATCCAGCTGCTGCTCGACCTCTACCTGGATGTCCCACGGATACCTAATTCAGCAAGTCCAAAACAACTCATGTTCCTTGTCCTCCCCACTCGCAAGCACTCCTGTTACTCCCTTTTCCCTGCCCCCAGGACTGGCACCACTCACTTTCCCAAGCCAGGCATCTCTTGTATAACTGGGTAGGGGTGTGCAAGGAATAGCCATTTTTAAATTTTTTAAATGAAACTTAATCCAGTCCAGAGCCCCCATTTCTGCAGAATTTGACAGACAAACTTCATGTGAGATATAACTGACAGCCCCCACCCCTCCTAAGAAATTGGAGGACCTCTTGGTTCCAGGCCACCCTCCTTGTTAAAAGGCAGTGGTCCCTAGAGGTGCCAGCCCCTACCCCTATCACCAGGCAGTACAGGTTTCTTTGCCCACGCTGGGAACCTTGATGCTGGGTCCCAGGAAGCATCACCCTGAGACCTCATCACATCCTAGAGCACTGCCACTGAGTCCTGCCAGGGAGCTGGAGGCCTCTTCTCTCTTCCCTGGCTCAAAGTAGCCTTTAGAATTTTCTCTGGTTATCCTCCCTCCCTGGCCAAGGACAAGGAGCATTTTCTCTTGAGGGAGATTAGATTTTTAGAGAAAGCCTGAAAGAGCTTTGGCCTTCTGCTTTTAACAGTCTAAACCCTTGAGTCAATAAAGCACAGAAGGGCCAAGCTACTGTACTGTTAACACTGGGGACACTGGTTCTTGGTTGAGCCCCACAGCAAGTCTGACAGAACTTGGTCCTTCTGCTGAAAATCTCTAGGCTCCATCCCTTTAGGCCCTGCCCTGGTTTCGGTCACCATCATCTCTGACCTGGGTTTCTGCACATCCTCTAAACTGGTCTCCCCACCTCCAGTCTCACCTCTCTGCCTTCCATTGGGTCTCCCTAACTCACCACCTAGTTTCCACACCATAGCCTGAGGACCCTTTAAAATGCATGTTTGACTGTTCCCATCTCATTCTGCTCCCCCCACCCCACCCCCTGCCTTGTGTTTTAATGAACTTCCCTTTCCTTCTCCAGACAGATAATCCAGTAATCTAGCCTAGTCCTACCTTCCATAGGAGAGCCTCCTCTCTTACTACAGCCCCTGCCCCCCCACCACCTTTTCCTCTAGCTTCAGCAAGCTGCCTGCAAAGTGGTTAAACACACCAGTCATTCCGCAAATATTTATTGAACATGTACTATGTGCTAGGCCCTGGGGTTGCAGCAGTGAGCCAGACAGGGCTCCCAGTAGTGCTCGACTCTGGGCCTTTGAATGTGTTGTTCGCTCTTCCCAGATTATCTCCCTTTACTTCCTCTGGCAAACTATTAATCCTCTAAGACCCAGTTTAACCCTTATCTCCTCTCTGATGCTTTCCCTGACTCCCCGTAGAGTCCTCAACATGTTGGCTCAGTTGTTAGCCTCCCGGAGCTTTGTTATCCAGGCCTGTGGCTTTAAATTCCACCCAGATTTATACCTCCAGTGCAGACTCTCCATCTGCCTACTTGCAATATAAACTCAGATGTCTAATAGGCATTTCAAGATTGCCACCTGCTCAAATCTGCTCCTCCCCAGTCTTTCCCACCTGGAATTAGTTCCACTGTCCATCCGATTGCCCAAACTGAAAACCCAAGCATTGTACTCGATTTCTCCTTCTCCCTCATCCTGGACCCCATCTCCACTCCATTAATGTACCCTGTCAGCCCCATTTCCCAAATATATCTATTTTGCTCTCTTCTCTGCTGCCACCACATTAGTTCAAGCCATAATTGATTTCCTGTCTGGATTATTGCAACAGGCGCCTAATCGTCCATCCTACACACAGCAGCCAGAGTGATCTTATAAAATCTTAATTCAGATTATGTCATTCTCTTGCTTAAAACCCTCCAGTGGCCTCCGCGATGCCCCACATGATCCGGCTCTTTCCCACTTGTCTCCCTCTCCCTCTCCTTTCCAGTCACTGGGCCTTCTTTCTCTTCTGCAAATGCACCAATCCTTTCCTGCCTCAAGGTTTATGCAGTTGCAGCTCCCTCTTCCTGCAGTGCTTTTCCCAGCATCTTGCTCATCCTTCAAGATTCAGCCCAAATGTCACCTTTTCTGAGAGGCCATCCTGGACCACCCTTTCTAAAATGGTCTGTCCCTTGTGTCTCTCTTTAACTTGTCATTGTGTTTCTTTCCTTTAGAGAATTATCATAATTTATAATTGTCTTGTTTGTTTGACTACTGTTTGTTTTCCTCCATTAGAATGTAAACTCCAGAGGAGCAGGGATCTTGTCTGTATGGTTTACTGCCGGGTCCCTGAAATCAGGCCCAGGCTTCACGTAGAGTAGGTATTCTGTAAATATTTGTGAATGATTATGCTTATTAATCCTTGATTACAGTCATCATCCTGCATTATAATCTATTATTTATTTATGTGTCTGTTTCCCTAACTTCCCCGTGAGTTCATAGATTGCTCTGTGTTTCTGGGATCAGGTCCAGGCACATAGTAGGCTGTCAATAAATGTTTGTGGAATGGATAAAGGAAAGTAAAAGGAGCAATCAAAGAAAGGAAAATAACAAGGGGAGAGTGGAGTTGAGGAATGCAAGGGAATAAAGTTCAAATCAAATAAAGAGAGGTGAAGTGACTAATCTGGCTCATACGAGGCACAGAGCCAGAACTAGAACCATGGGCATCTCCATGGTATGGAGGGGAATGTGGGCCAGACCTCTGGGTCACTCGCACCTGAACATCCCAGGTGACTTTTTCCAATAACTTATTCATTCATCTGCCCTCATGTCTCCTTGCAGGAAGGACATTTCCCAAGAAGGGACAGACGTGTGTGGTGCATTACACAGGTAGGCTTTGCTCCCTCAGCCTTCACCCAGACCTGCCCCTTCCAAGGGAGATCTCTCCTCTGATACTCCTCTCCAGAGGTGTCTGCTCCCTGGATCAGGCCCAAAGCCTAAGACAGCCAAGTCTCCCTCTGTCCAGCTGTTCCCCCACTTCTCCGAGCCAGCATTGTGCGTATGGGAAAGGAGGCTTGCAAGGTTACCCCTTCCCCACTTGTACCAGCAGGAGCCGTCTGGGGAGCCAGCCTCTAACTGAGCCAAGCACCTCCATTCTCTTCCCTCTGTTGTGGGCAGCGTGGAGTCTGGCCCTCCTGGTTCTGTCTGATATTTAGAAATCCCTTCTTAAAGCTCTGAGAGCCCTGATCGTCCCTGCAGACTCCTTTTTCCTCCTACAATATTATTAGAGAAGAGGAGGTTGACTTCCTCAGCATTTCCTTTCTTTTTTCAAAAATAGACTATTCGACTCACCTACTGTTAGTAGATGCTGTGCTGGGCACTGGGGACACACGGATGAAAAGGGAGGATTCCTTCCTTCTTTGGGGCTCTGGGGAGTGGGAGAGACCAGTGATCCAGAGGCTCTGATGCAGTGTGTTTGGGGGGGGGACAGCAGGGCCTGTCTCAGGGTGCTGTGGGAGTGGGAGGAGGGCCCCACATCTCTGCTGATCCCTCCTGGATGCTCTGTCCTGGAAGGTCAGGTGGGCTGAGGAACATTCTAGATGGAGTTCCTGAGGACTGATGGTAGGAAGATCACGAGCAGGTATTTGTTCCCAGAGGGGCGAGTGCTCTGCCTTGTGACCTGCTTCCCAATGTGGCAAACTTGGTGACAACCACTTAGCAGACAACAAGGCCAGTTTAATTCCTAGGACGTATTCAGATGGGCCATTTTTAGCAGTTCTCTGGGCCAGTGCGAAGTGCCAGGTTAAATCTAGGCAGACAGTGTGGGTATTTCTCAACAGCTGTGTTGCTGGTCGCTGACGTCAGTGGGCTAGAGCTGTGTTTTATCTCCCGGTGATGTGGCCTAATTACCATGAGTCCTCTGGGGCCTCTGACCTGTGTAATTGATTTATCTGTTCTACATGTTGTAGACAGAGCAGTACTTATCAAGTTACTAAAACCACAAGATCCTTTTGCAAAGACTTTTCATAGTAGATACAGAGAGCAGGTGATGTGCATTAAACACTAACATCAGGGGCGCCTGGGTGGCTCAGTTGGTTAAGCGACTGCCTTCAGCTCAGGTCATGATCCTGGAGTCCTGGGATCGAGTCTCACATTGGGCTCCCTGCTTAGCAGGGAGTCTGCTTCTCTCTCTGACCCTCACCCCTCTCATTCTCTCTCTCTCTGTCATTCTCTCTCTCTCAAAAATAAGTAAAAAATGAAAAAAAAAACCCAAACACTAACATCAGCCATGAGTGCCTCTGGTTTGGGGAGGGACTGTCTCATCAAACCCAGCAGGAGACTGCATGGGACTTTTTGGTAAACTTTTTAATTAAACATAAACACAGTAGAGAACATAAATCTAAGATGTACAGCTCAGTGAAATTTGTCAAAGTGATTACACTTATATATAACCACTACCCAGACCAACACATACATTTCCAGAACCCCCAGGCCCAGGCATCTCCTTCATGCCTCCTCCTAGTCATTACATCTCCTTGAAGGTAACCAGCATTCACACCTTTGTCCCCATCAATTGGCTTGGCCTGTTACTGAGTATCATATAAATGGAATCATAGAGTATGTACTCTTTTGTGTTTGGCTTATTATACTCAATATTATGTCTGTGAGATTATGTCTGTGAGAGTGGTTTGTTCTTTTTTTTTAAGATTTATTTATTTATTTGAGAGAGGGAGACAATGCACACGAGTGGGGGGAAGGGCAGAGGGAGAGGGAGAGAAAGAATATCAAGTAGACTCTGCGCTGAGCATGGAGCCCGACTCAGGGCTCGATCCCACAACCCTGAGATCATGACCTGAACTGAAATCAAGAGTCAGATGCTTAACTGATTGAGTCACCCAGGCACCCCTGATTTGTTCTTTTTTATTCCCATACAGTTCATTGTATGATGAATATACTATAATTTATCTTTTCAACAGTTGATGAACATTCGGGTTATTGATAGTTTTTGGCTATTATGAATAATATTGCTTTGAACAATCTTGTAGGTGTCTTTTGGTGCACATATGTACACATTTCGGTTGGTATACACCCAGAAGTGCAGTTACTTGGGCATAGGGTTATATACCAATACTCAGCTTTAAAAGATACTGTTAAACAGCTTCCCAAAGTAGTAATGCCAATTTCCACTGCCACCAGCCATGTATGAGAGTTCCAGTTCTCCTGCATCCTCATCAACACTTGGCATCATCATGTTTTTGTTTTGTTTTTGGCCCACTGAGGTGGGTGTCCAGTGGTATTTCATTGTGGTTTTTGATTTGCATTGCCCTGATGACTAATGAAGTTGAGTACCTTTTCATGTGCTTACTGGCCTTTTGGATATCCTCTTTAGTCTGCTCAAGTTTTGCCCAATTATAAAAATTGGGTTGGCTGTCTTTTTCTTATTGACTTATGGGAATTATTATTATTATTATTAATTATTTATTTATTTTTTAGAGAGAGAGAGCACAGGGAGGGGGGACAGAGGCAGAGGGAGAGAGAGAATCTTAAGCAGGCTTCATACCCAGCACAGAGCCTGACCTGGGGCTCAATCTCACAACCTTGAGATCGTGACCTGAGCTGAAATCAGGAGTCAGACGCTTAACTGCTGACTGACTGAGCCACCCAGGTGCCCCAGGAATTCTTTATATATTCTAGATATGAGTCTTTTGTTAGTTATACTGATTCCAATCACCTCCCATGCCAGGTCTTGTCTTTTTACTCTCTTAATGGCATTTTATGAATAGAAGTTCTTTATTTTTTTTAAGGTTTTGTTTATTTGTCAGAGAGAGAGAACACAAGCAGGGGGAGCAGCAGGCAGAGGGAGAGGGAGAAGCAGGCTCCCTGCTGATCAGGGAGTCCCATGCGGCACTGGATCCCAAGACTCTGGGATCATGACCTGAGCCGAAGGCAAACACTCAACCGACTGAGCCACCCAGGCATCCCTATTTTATTTTATTTTTTTAAGATTTTATTTATTTATTGGACAGAGAGAGAGCACAAGGAGGGGGAGCAGCAGAGGGAAAGGGAGAAGCAGGCTCCTGATGCAGGACTCTGAGATCATGACCTGAGCTGAAGGCAGACGCTTAACCAACTGAGCCACCCAGGCATCCCTAGAAGTTCTTAATTTTTTTTTTAAAGATTTTATTTATTTATTTGAGACAGAGAGAATGAGAGAGACAGAGAGCACATGAGAGGGGGGAGGGTCAGAGGGAGAAGCAGACTCCCTGCCGAGCAGGGAGCCTGATGCGGGACTCGATCCAGGGACTCCAGGATCATGACCTGAGCCGAAGGCAGTCGCTTAACCAACTGAGCCACCCAGGCGCCCGAAGTTCTTAATTTTAATGAAGTTCTACATATCGGTCTTTTCCTTTATAGTTAGTACTTTTGTGTTCAGTTCAGGAATCTTATTTATTTATTTATTATTTTCATAGTCCTCCTTCCCCCACTTTTGTGTTTTATTTATTTTTTTATTAACATATAATGTATTATTTGTTTCAGGGGGTACAGGTCTGTGATTCATCAGTCTTACACAATTCACAGTGCTCACCATAGCACATACCCTCCCCAGTGTCCATCACTCAGCCACCCCATCCCTCCCACCCCCCTCCACTCCAGCAATCCTCAGTTTGTTTCCTGAGATTAAGAGTCTCCTATGGTTTGTCTCCCCAGTTAAGAAAGCTTTGTCTGTCCCTAGGTCATGAAGATATTCTTGTTTGTTATCTTGTAGAAGCTTTATTATTTTATTTTTCATATTTAAGTTTGAGATTCATCTGGAATCGATTTTTATGTGTGCATAAGTTAAGGGTCAAGGTTCATTTTTTCTCCATAAAGATATGCAGTTGATCTAGCAACATTAATTTAAAAAAAATCATCCTTTATCTGTTGCATTGCCATGACACCTTTGTTGAATCAGGTAACCATATATATGTGGGTCTGTTTCTGGGCTGCATGGTTTTAACTGAACTTGTAGCAGTAGATGGTCTGAAGTACATGGTCTGAAGTATATTAAGTCATATGAAACCTGAAGAAATTGGGGGATGAGAAAGCCAGTCTTCAAAGGGAGTGTGTGTGTGCATATCCATATGTGTATTTGTCCAAGTATGTGTCTTTGTGAATGTATGTAGATTCATGGATCTAATTTCTTAGCATCTGTTTGACCATTAGGGTCTTTCTTCTGAATGTGTGTCCATAAGTGCCCAAGAGCACGCATGGGTATCTCTGAATATCTTAGCAACCTGTGTGTATGCATGAGTTTGTATCTGATCTCCTTAGTATCCATTTGTGTAGCCACAGGGTTTTCTCCTTTGCCTGATTTCGTACCCAGGGCAAGAGTCCATTTCATTCTATGCAGAAAGTAGGAAAATGAGACTGTGCCTCATATACATTTATACATTTGTAGGAATTAGGAAGTGGAGTCACAGATGCTCAGACACTAAGCCTGTCCAGACCTCCTATGTTAAACATGGCAAATCTGAGGCCATGACAAAGGAAGTGATTTGCCTAACTTTACACAGTGAGTTAGTGCCAGCATGAAGTCAGAATCCAGTCTCTGAACTTACAGGCCAGATCTTTCTCTGGTCTCAAATTGCCTTTTGTTGTGGTCTGTGGACTGCAGGAAGAAATCGTGGGAGAGCATCGTTTACAGAAGGTCTGATCTTCGAGCCAATCACCAGTACGAACTAAAAACAGAAAAACAGCTCTTGAGCCTTAGACAGCAGAAATGAGACAGTATTTGTACATCAGGGATGACAAGGCAACTACATCTGGAGGCTCAGGGATGCTCCAAACTGCTGGAGACAACATCGAGGTGTTCCGGGTTCAAACAGGCCCTTTTTATGGGGTCTGGAGGCCACCCTTGACTGGGTCACTTTGCTCAGTTCATTGCAGGAAGGGATGATATGGCCTTTGGGTTTTGCATGTTAGGGGAACCTTGTGAAAAGCAGGTAAGGATGCAACCTGAGGCAGAAACATCCTCGGGCTGAGGAAGTGGCACAGAAAAGGTTGGAAAGCGCAGAGGTATTTGAGAAGGGTGTGACCTGAATAGGACATTGGGGGAAGGAAAGGTAGGGGAGAGCAGAGAGAGGGTTATCAGGCAGGCAGTCTCCGGATCTTGAAGTGCCTGTGTGCAGTGCAGGCATTTAGATTCTGCCTCCGGGAGCTATTGACGTGTTTTAAGCAAGGGAGTAACATGATCAGATATATGTTTATAAAAGACAGTCACTCTGGAAGGTGTGTGGAGGCTGGAACGGAGGAGTGAGAGTGGAGTGGAAAGACCATTTAGAGGGTGTTCCCTACACAGGTGAGACATGATGGGGACATGGTGCAGACACGGGGTGGTGGCAGTAGAAATGGAGAAAGTAGGTAGATTGCAGAGATGAGTAGGACTTCATGATAGGCTGCATGTGGGGTAAGGCAGAGCAAAGTATCTGGGTTTCTTGCTTGGGTGACAGGACAAGTGGGGAGATTGGAAGAGGCGCAGGTTTGTGCAGAATAGGAATTCTATTTTAGACATGTGGCCCCAGACCTGGGAGTTAACTCATGACCGCCGCTCTTCTCCATCCTATTCTTGCTTTCACAGGAATGCTCCAAAATGGGAAGAAATTCGATTCGTCCAGAGACAGAAACAAACCTTTCAAGTTCAGAATTGGCAAACAGGAAGTCATCAAGGGTTTTGAAGAGGGTGCAGCCCAGGTAGGATGGGAATCCTCAGTAGGGGGGATTCAGGGAGTTGGAGCCTGGACTCAGTATGCTGCCTTGCCCTATCACAGACCTCCACGGCTTTGCCCCTGCCGCCAGGGACGCCATCCAGATTCCGCCCTTGGCTTTGTGCCCCCACCCCATCCCTCTCATTGCCAGCATGACTCCTTTAAGTCCCAGGGGGCTCTCATTCCAAGCACATCCCTCCGGGCTTGCTCAGAACTAGCTTCGGAGGCCTGTGAGCTACCAGCTGTCTGGGACTGAGGCAGCAGGAGAGTTGGGGGGTGAGGAGGCCAAGGTTTTTTTTGTTTGTTGTTTTTTTTTTAACTTAAAAATTTCAGACTTGCAAAAATATCACAGAAGTAATTCCCATGCATTCTTTGCCCAGCTTCCCCACGTGTGAACATTTTACATAACCATAGTACAATGATCAAATTACATGAGTTTGTGATCAATTACACACTAACACTGATACAGTACTATTAACCGATCCATTCAAATTTTTGAGTTGATTCTTCAAAATTTAAAAATCGATTTATTCAAATTTCACCTGTCCCACCAGTGCCAGGTGTTCTTGATGACTGCCGTGATGAGCCCCGGTTCATGCCCTTCTCTGTTGGTCTCTGAAGCCACACGATGCTCTGTTAGAGTAGGTCTCTCAGCCCTCCCCACCTTGCGGTGGCCTCTGATTACTTCACGTCTTTAATGTGCTCCTGTTACCTCCTTGAGTATGTACTTTACGTGCCCTACACCCTCTTTCGATTCTTTTGGAGGAGGGTGAGGAACAATTATGAACAATTCGAAGTGTTGGGGCCATGCACTAATTGAATAACCAGCAGTGGTTGCTGGATGAATGAATTTGGGACTACTTGGTAGAAGTTATTGCCCCACAGTGAAGCCTCTGTTAGTCTGAGACTGAATCTAAATTCTGCATCACTACAGTGTGCCACATAGAAAATTCATCTCAGATCTTCAGAGTTACCTTGAGGATGGTGTGGGAAAATGCCATAGTTATCTTACTTTTTTCTTTTAAATCAAGCTGGGTCCTCTTTCTCCTCTCCCCATCTGCCCCCATCCCTGCTAGATGAGCTTGGGGCAGAGGGCGAAGCTGACCTGCACCCCCGATGTGGCGTATGGAGCCACGGGCCACCCTGGTGTCATCCCTCCCAATGCCACCCTCATCTTTGACGTGGAGCTGCTCAACTTAGAGTGAAGGCAGGAAGGAACTCGAGGGGGCTGGAGTTGGCTGCTGCTCGCCCTCCTAGCCTGCTCTGCCACTGGGACGGCTCCTCCTGCTTGGGGCTCTTGATCAGTGCGCTAACCTCACTGCCCCACAGCATTATCCATGCTCTGCCCAAGTTGTTCTGTATGTGTTCATCATCGTTCACGCGCATCTTTGCTTGAGGAAACTTCGGTTGCCGATCAAAACATTTCAGGTTGTGCATTTTGCGTGATGCATGTCGTAGCCATTTCTGACCACAGAATACAGATTTCTTGTTCGCACAATCTACACTGCCTTACTTAAGCCAGACCCACAAGGTGCTCAGACATGAAATGTACATGGTATACACAGAGGGACTTGAGCCAGTTACCTTTGCTGTCACTTTCTCTCTTAGAAATTCTGTTGGCTGCTGACTTACACAATGTCCTCTTTGGAAATGATATGTAAAATAAAGGCTCTGTGCTTGACAAATTCCTGTCCATCCTTATTGTAGGAAGGAAGTGCTTTAAGGACTACATAAGCCAGTTGCCCTTGGGAATGAGTGGAAAGGAGCCTTCCAAGTAGCCAGAAATGATAATAAACATAATAGCTATGATGTGAGTTTTGTACATGCTGGGCCTTGTTCTATATATATATATATAT